TAGACAGATTGAGGCCCTAAGAACAAAACCTCCACTACCGGAGTAAATCCGGTACAGAATAGTGAGTTGGTTTCTCGACTAAAGTCACCAACTCCCTACCTTCAATCAAGGATACTCTATTAACCTAGGCAGATATTCTCATTCTAGGTTAAACCAGAAACAACAGGAATTTGATCAGGATTCAAGTCATTCAATCATTCAAACCTCAATCGAATATAATCAAATCATAGAATCAGTACTTGGGTTCATACAATCAAAGCCTAACATACAAATCTAGGGTTCTCCATACCCAGATGAATGGGAGAACTACTCCATGGAGAAGAAAGCAAAAGCAGAATCAGACGCGGAATTCATACTGTGAAGTATGGATTCCTGCTCCTGGATGTTGATCGGCACTTCTCCAAGCTCAAGCTGGCCTCCAATGGTGTTGAAGATCAATCTAGGGCACTTGGAGACTCTTGTTCGTCGCTTTCTCTCTCTAGGAACTGATCTCTCTCTCAAAAACTCGAATCCCCCCGAATTGTGGCTGAAAATCTGCTTAAAAGCAGAAAATCCCGACTCACACGGCCAGGGTGGCACGGCCGTGTGGCTTACCCAGTTGCCCGTGTGAGTCAAAACGCTGCGTTCCAATTAGTTCGAATTCCAGGCTCTTTGCACGGCCAGAGTGGCACGGCCGTGTGACATCTCCATCCTGCCCGTGTTTGCTCTCGCAGAATTCCACACGGCCAAACCTGGCACTTGCACGGCCGTGTGGATGTCCTGCTCTGCCCGTGTTTGCTCTCGCACAATCCCACACGGCCAGACTGGCCACTTGCACGGCCGTGCGGGTTGTGGGTGTGCCCGTGTGACCTCCATTGTGACTTGCCTCACGCCCGATCTTCGCCCAATCGACCCCGAACTCGCTCCTAAACCTTCATTCACTTGCCAGGACCTGAAATATCACAAACAAGCACAACCTAGCGTGAAATCGGTGTAAAACACGAGAGACCACATCTCCAACAGTGTAAGAACAGGGGTGAAAACATGTGTAATTAACGGTCTATCACGACGCCACAGACAACTTCTTACGCATCGAGGAGGCAAACCGACTGGGTATTGCCTACAAGAAAGGGCAAGGGTGGCTCAAGCCGATCAATTTGGAGTCCATCCCGATCCATGGAGTTGCGCACAACGTGCCAGTGAAGCTTGGCAAATGGGAAGGCATCATCGACTTTTCCGTCGTCACCATGGATGATCACCCAGTCATCCTCGGTATCAACTTCCTCGACACGGAGGGAGTTCTCTTGAAGCCCAACTCCAACACGATGTGCTTGGAGAAGGGAGGGGAGTTCCATGCGGTCCATCTCTTGAGGGAAGATAGACCCCATAGTGCTTTGTACGCTATGAAGGTATTGAAGGGGTTAAAAAAGAAGGAGTCAACGGTTCTTGTGTCCTTGAAGATGGAGGAAGAAGGAGGCTCAACGGGAATCACAACTCCCATCATCGAAGGTGTGCTTGAAGAATTCGATGATGTGATGTCATCAGAGTTTCCTATGAAGCTGCCACCAAGAAGAGATGGATCACAAGATCGAGTTGGAGCCAGGAGCGAAGCCCCCTTCGCGAGCACCATACCGTATGGCCCCACCGGAGCTTGAAGAGTTGTGGAGGCAGCTCAAGGACTTGTTGGATGCAGGCTACATGCGGTAATCGAAGTCACCTTTTGGAGCACCGGTGTTGTTCCAAAAGAAGAAGTAAGGGTCGTTGCGCATGTGCATCGACTATAGAGCCATCAACAAGTTGACGGTGAAGAACAAGTGGTTGATCCTTAACATTGCCGACTTGTTCGACCATCTTGGAGATACGAGATGGTTCACCAAGCTTGATCTTCGTTCGGGCTACTATCAAGTGCGGATAGTAGAGGGCGAAGAGCTAAAGACGGCTTGTGTGACGAGGTATGGCTCTTACAAGTTTCTTATGATGCCATTCGGTCTTACCAATGCACCAGCCACATTTTGCACTTTGATGAATCAAGTGTTCGAGTCATTCTTGGATCGATTTGTCGTGGTGTACTTGGATGACATCGTAGTGTAGAAAAACACTCGATGAGTATGCCGAGCACCTACGACAAGTCTTCCAAGTCCTTCGCAACAATGAGTTGTATGTCAAGAGGGAGAAGTGCACTTTTGCCGCCACGGATGTTCCATTCTTGGGGCACATCATTGGTGGAGGCAAGTTGAAGATGGATGGGCCGAAGGTGGAGGCAATCCAAGAGTGGGAGCCACCTACGAAGGTGCCAGAGTTGCGGTCATTCCTCGGCCTTGCTAATTATTATCGGAGATTCATCAAGGGATACTCCAACATTGCAGCACCCTTGACGAATCTTTTGAAGAAGAACAAGGCTTGGGACTGGTCGGATCAGTGCCAAGAAGCATTCGAGGCTTTGAAGGCAGCGGTGATGAAGGAGCCCGTGCTCGTGCCCCCTAAACCGATGTTGGCCTACGAAGTGCAGACCGATGCATCCGACTTTGCAATTGGCGGTGTTTTGATGCAGGATGGGCATCCCATTGTCTTCGAGAGTCGGAATCTCAACGAGACGGAGAGGCGATACACGGTCCAAGAGAAAGAGATGACGACCATGGTGCATTGCTTGCGCACATGGAGGCACTACTTGTTGGGGTCGAAGTTCATAGTGAAGACGGAACAAAGTGGCGATGAGCTACTATCTCACGCAGAAGAAGCTCACCCCCCAAGCTAATACGAGCACTTAGGTGCTTGTTTGAGATCAAAATACGCAACACCAATCTCCTAGAAGGAGAGATTGAATTCTATCAAACTTAAAACGTAAAACGAATTCCAAAGGTGCAATCTTTCACGTTGAAGAAGGCTCCATTGGTTGGAGGTGAAGCTCGGCCACGATTGATGCGGTTTCAATCGATACGAAGCAAGCTTGATGCTGGAACTCGACCAACACAGAAGGATTTGGTGACGAAGTCACAATTTTCATTCAATCTTCTCTAATTTTTACACGAGGCTTTCAAGCCTTTAAATAGACAATTAATAATGCAAATTGAACTCTAAACTAATAAGGAAATCGAATCCTAACTCTAACTTAACAAGGAAATAGAATCCCAACTTGAAAGGGAAAGAAAACTCAATTACTTTCCCCCTAAGTTTCTGCCTTACTGCACAAGTAACCAAATCAAGCTCCATAGCTACTTTGTAGCACTTGATCATGGCCTTCCAAGTAGCATCAACCCAAATTGGCTTCAGTCGTTTCCCCCCATGATCACATACTTTAAGTTCCAACTCTCCCTTTCCACCGACGATGCTCCAGCTGCATTGATTAAGCCTTCAAAGATGGTATCTCAAACCTGTTACAGACTTGGCCAAAAAAAGTAGACAGTTTCTAGTTCATCATAGCAACTTGAGGCTTTTTGATCAAGCACCTATGGACCCTAATTCGTGCACCCAACCATTCGACGTTGTAAATAAACACTTGACCTTCACTTCCCCACCTTTCTCGTGCATTTCCATCGATCGAAAAGGAAGATACGCCTTCCACATCGTGATAGCTGCAAAATTCTGCTACGCCTTCCACGTCGAGATCAATCTCTCCAATGAGATCAGTCTGACAAGCGACAACGAACATGTGGCGAGCGACGAGAACTGAGGAGGGCAGCTATAGGCGGAGCTTGGCGGCGAGTTGGTTAGATGTGGACGGAGCTTGTGACAGATTGCTTTTCGGCTACGTCAAAGGCATCATCCACGATGACCAGACTCCCCTCCGGCCAGCGCTCCTAACATAAGGCCGGTAGGCAGAGGCGTAGCCCGGTTTTGACGCTCGGAGGGGCAAAAGTTTCTTATTAATGTTAGCGCATAAACGGAATAAAATTAATCAAAATAAAAAATTGAAATTATTTTTCATATTACGATAACTTCGCTTTTCAGGATGTTTGAAATCACTCAAAATAAGATCGAAACTAAAAATTTGTAGCATGATAGGTTCATACAAATTCATAAGTGATAAATAAATTAACAATGAATTTCAATAAAGAGTAGTCATCCTATTTTCAAAATTTAAAGATGAATGTTGTGTAACATGTCATATTTTCACTCAAAATTATATATAAACTTCAAATATTCACCTAAGCACGTTCAATATAAATTAGAAATGAAATAAACAGATTAATAATGAGATTTCAATATTGCATAACACATCCTATTTTTAGAATTGAAAATGAACATCTACTTATATCAATATTTGAAGATAAAATATTATTCATCGTCCACCCAAAAGTAGTCGTAAGCTTTTTTAAGTGAAAGAATAGTTTTAACTTAAATAATTTGAGAAAATAAAATATTCGAATCAATAAACTTAGTTGATATTTTCAGGATGTTTGAAATCACTCAAAATAATATCGAAACTAAAAATTTGTAGCATGATAGGTTCATACAAATTCATAAGTGATAAATAAATTAACAATGAATTTCAATGTTGAGTAGTCATCCTATTTCCAAAATTTAAAGATGAATGTCGTGTAACATGTCATATTTTCACTCAAAATTATATATAAACTTCAAATATTCACCTTAGCACGTTCAATATAAATTAAAAATGGAATAAACACATTAATAATGAAATTTCAATATTGCATAACGCATCCTATTTTTAGAATTGAAAATGAACATCTACTTATATCAATATTTGGAGAGAAAATATTATTCATCATCCACCCAAAAGTAGTCGTAAGCTTTTGTTAGTATAAGAATAGTTTTAACTTAAATAATTTGATAAAATAAAATATTCGAATCAAAGAACTTAGTTGATCTTTTAATGACTTAAAAGGTCATACTATAAATTAAAAAAAAATCCAGGCAGCAAGGATTAAACACTTGACTTGGGTTATTACATATAAGAACCCCATTCGTTGGACTGACTTAGTAATGATATGTATTTCATTCACATTAAGCAATTTTTAACCTTTTGTTTAGTTTATATAAAATTTTCAAAATACCATCGAGTCTACACGTAAAATCAGAAATTCTGGGGGAGCCCTCCCCCCCCCCCCCCCCCCAAGAGCAGCTGTAGATCCGCCCCTGGCGGTAGGCCTTTGATGACGGAGGAGCCAAATCCGGTTGACCGCATTTGATTAAGGTAATTGTGGTACCGGTAAGTTTCAGAAACGGTAATTTTCAAATTAATTTCTTAATTATCTTCAATTTCTTCCTTAATAATATTCATTGCTATATATAAATTTCAACTGTACGATAAGAATAATCTCTCTTAATAATTTAATTAAATTCTTATTTATGATGTCATTCTTTGTTATTCCATTCAGTGGCGGAGCCACGTTATGTGGTGTGGGGTCAATGGACCCCACTTGAAAATGGGTGCCTGAATGAAAATACATATGAGGCATGCAAGAATTAAACCTTGGACCCATGAATACGAGACACCAGCTGAGACACCAGCTGCACCATTACAATATATCTTGAGTTATGTTTAATGAGTTCTGTGGTTTTAATTTTCATATAATTCTTGGACCCCACTAAAATATTTCTCTGGCTACGCCAATGATTCCATTAGCCTTTATTATTCCCCAATCTCCGCCTTGGTTTTCGCTAATGTAAGTATAATTACTCTCAAAAAATTAATTTCTTCCTAATTTTAATGTCTAGCTTTATTGCTGTTCAATTAGCTACGTCTTCATAAGTAGATTTAATTTAAAAAATTTATGTACTTCCCTATTTATGCAAATTAGCTTTTAATTTCTCCTCTTAATAATATTGACAACCTTTAATATTTCCTTGGTCTTCATTTTATTAGTAATTTATTTTTTGTATTTAAAGTAGGCTTTAAATTTTTTTATTTTGGACAATCGTCATTATTGATTAATGTACAGCACTTACAAGAGGTTAATAATACCGTGGTGGTGTTTTTTCGATAAGATCGACTTTGCCTCAAAGGCAAGATTTAATCTCTAGTGTTAGAGATTTCTAGCACCATAGTCGTGCATTTTTATTAGTGATTTTGTAGGTGCCCATCGAAGAAGCATACTTCTGGCCGCATATGAGAGACGACGTGGAGATGTACGTGAAGACTTGTTTTGTGTGCCAACAAGACAAGATGGAGCAGAGAAGTCCGACTGGCTTGCTAGAGCCATTGCCCACACCTCAATGACCATGGGAGAGTGTAAGTATGGACTTCATCGTCAGCCTTCCCAAAGTCGAAGGATATTATTGCATCATGGTTGTGGTGCACAAGTTCTCGAAATATGGCGTGTTCATTCCGGGGCCGAAAGACATGACGGCGGAGGATGCGACACGACTATTCTTCAAGAATCTGGTCAAGTGTTGGGGCATTCCTAGCAACATAACGAGTGACAGAGATGGGCGCTTCAAGGGCCGATTTTGGCGGGAGTTGTTCAAGATCATGGGCTCTGGCTTGAACTTCTCGACGACATTTCATCAACAAAGAGATGGGCAGACTAAGTGCGTGAATGCCTTGCAGGAGGTGTACTTGGGGCACTATGTGAGTGCAAACCAACGCGATTTGGTGACGTTGATGGACACGACACAGTTCTCCTACAACTTGCACTGCAGCGAGTCGACCAACACGAGCCCATTCGAGTTGGCGACGGGACAGCAGCCGTTGACACCTACGACGGTGGCAACAGGGTATATAAGCAACAATCCGACAGTCGACAAATTCGCAAAAGACTGGCACGAGAAGATGGAGATGGCCAAGTCTTACTTAGCCGGCGCTAGTAAGAAGATGAAGAAGTGGGCGGACAAGAAGAGGCGACACTTGGAGTTTGAAGAGGGAGACATGGTGATGGTGAAGTTCTACCCTCACCGCTTCAAGCATCTCAGGAACGTGAACAAGGGACTTATTCACCGCTATGAAGGGACATTCAATATCGTGAAGAGGATTGACAAGGTGGCGTACAAGGTGGAGATGTCGTCACATTTGGAGATCCATCCGGTCTTTCATGTGAGCCAACTCAAAGTTTTCAACGACGACAAGGAGGATGAGAGGCGGAAGGAGTCACATCGCGCACCAACACTCGTCACCAAGACACACGACCATGAAGTCGAAGAGATCATGGCGCATCGTGTCATTCCTCGTCGTGGTGTTCATCCAAGCTATGCGGAGTACTTGGTCAAGTGGCGCAACCTTCCAGAGAGCGAGGCGAGTTGGGAGAATGAGCTCTCGCTTTGGAAGAACAAGGACTTGATCGAGACTTTTCGACAAGAGGACTCAACAAGGGCGTCGCGAGCATAGGTGGAGGAGGATGTTACATGTGGCAGATGACATGACACAAACAAAGTGACAACATGACGGCTGCACATGTGGCGTGTATGGAAGACTAGAAGTATAGAGATGCCTCTAGGATTCTCCACCTAAATGAGAGCTTAATGATGCACTTATGAGTCACATAATGGGTGACATCATCTTCTCTGTCTTTCTTGCTTTCTTTGGTTGCTTGTGAATTTGAGAGAAGGATGCTTAGTTCTCTAACGGAATTGAGAGCTAATGAAACACCATAACCCGGCCAGGTACTACTTTTACTAAAATGCCCTTGATAAATAAAATGCTCAAATCGTAAATTGCAGCGGAAAATAAATGTTCATAAATAAAATACTGAAAACACACTTGTAGTTCAATGCAAAGCCCTAACGAGTGGGCAAATTAAACTCAAACTTTAAAAACTCAACTTGATCTCCAGTCTATACTCATAATCATAGAACATAATAACTAACTAGCCTCAAGTGTTGCTGCTTGTGTGAAAAACTAGACATCCTCTGTGACGCTCGTACCGTCCTCCTCTAGCTAGCTTCACTCGAACTGTTCCTCTCGATCCCGCTGCTCTCTAACTGCTCCTCTAACTCTTCAAACTGGTGAGTGAGATGGGGTCAGTCTACGCCCTTACGTTTTAGATTCTTACTGCTTAGAACTTAACTTTGACTAGTGGAAGTTATTTGTACTTCCAAACTTAAAAATCTTAACTCTTAAACTTTGAGGGAGTTGAAGTGACTCTCCTCTCTTAAAACTCAAATCTTGACTTAAATACTTGACTGACACGGGGATCCCTCACTAGCTAGTCCGGTTGCCAACTCATACGTATGAGAAGCCATCTAGGCTTTCCATAAACTTAAACTTAGTTAGGGAAGTCGTAACGATTCATCCCCCTAACATCTTAAACTTATCGTGGTGGCAACCGGACTAACATCTTAAACTTATCGTAACGATTCTCAAAGGCATAACTGCTGCCCATCTTAAAAATCTCAAGATCATAACTGCTGCTCTATCTCAAACTGTCTCAAAAGGCAACGAACTGGCACTAGTGACTAAAAACACTGAAAACGACTTCACCTTCTTGAAGGTGAGTTACTTCTTAAAAAGAACTTGCTTCTTTAACTTAACCTTACTTATACTCATAAAATTTCAAAGTAAGTAATAACCAATGTAGTTAAACTATAGTTTTTATGTATAAGCGGAATGATGGGTACAAACTTAAGCGTAAAAGCGGAGCGTAAGAACGTAAGTTTATATGAACCATTGAAATTGTGAAAAATCAACTTAAAAGACTAATAGGATGCACACACAGAAAATTGGAAAAGATTTTGAACTAGAGTACATTCTAACTCAGAACAGGTTCATAAACATAGAAAAAGAGTTGAATCATACGCTAATATGAATCATAACTCAGAAATATTCATATTATGGACATCACAAGCCCTCCAAAAAAATTGATCATGATTTATGCTACATTTGGGCAGCAACATCCACATTTCCATCCAAATCATATCATCTTAATTACCGCCATCGTCATAGTTGTTATTGTCACTAACATCATGCTCCTCATAAATACATCAATCCTCATTCATGTTAAAAGAATCACTTTGAAGCCAGCGGCATGATCACTTTAGTTTTTTCATCTATAAAAAATCATTTGACCATCCCATGACATGCCAAATCGCTCCATAAACATTATCGTTAAAAGCTCTTATAAGCGTCCTAAAAGCTAGCTTTTAAGGATTTTTATGCACATATTGTGGTTTTGAAGAGTTTATATTAAGCTTATGATGCCAAAAGATTTTTCAAGGAAAAATACTATATTGGAGGAGGTAAGAACTTAAAAGCGTAAGCTTTTAGGCTTAAACTATAGCTTTTAAATACATTGATAACCATTCACTTCAAGTCATAATTCAAATAAGGCACATATCATCAACCATAACCAGGCAATCTCAAACATGAATCAAAATACTGCACATATATCACGTAAAACAATACTTGAAAAATACTCAAGGCAATTACTTGAAAATCGTAAGGCGTAGAATTTACCCCCTTTACACTCACCTCGAAAATATGACTCTGCTTTGACTCTGAAAATTCCAAACTCCCTCCTATAACATTCCCCTTGCTTCTTCAATTCCGTAGGCGCAGACGGTTCCTCGTTTGGACGTCAATTGATCGAGTTATGACCAAAATAAACATTCAGTCAGTTTAAAAGTTCCAGGTACCGAAATTGCAATTTTGCCAGGCAAAACAGATGACCACGACCTCGCTGGAAAATTACACACTTAATCCTCTAACTTTTTGAATTTCCATGAATGGTACCTGTACTCGGCAGATTCTTTCTCAAACTTTGGAGGCTCGGTTCTCCCTCGTCCGACGTCGGAATTCAATTTCGTCGACACGGTGAAGATCCTGGAATTTCCCTCTACGAGATGATACCCACCACTTGACGAATGGTCGAAGTCGGCTACGCCGGGGCCATCGACGGAGCTCTAACACGTCGGTGAAATATGTATATGCAGCCATCGAAACTTTCATCTTGGAACTTCGCAAATCCCTGATTAGAGCCCTCACAACTACCACATCCATGACAGAGTGATCATCTCTTCATCATCGATGATGATTAACCATTTGTTTCCCCAACAAACCGTCGTTGAAGCTCTGAGAACTAGGGGTGTCCAACATCGATCCTTCATGTATGGCATCGCTTGCTTCCTATACGACTTCCGCCAGCCACTCATTGATATCGCTCGCTCTCTCTATTTCATCTTGTCGTGGCTACCAATTGATCAGGAGCGGAGCGTTTCAGCTCTTGATTTTGAGGGTTGAATCAAGAGAGTGGGAGAATTTGAGCGGGGGAAAGAATGAGACCCCTCCCAAACATTGCTTTGATTTCCCGAGGGCAAGCTGCTTTCGGTGGAGAAAGGCTGCGAGGGTTTGATGCTCTACTACTGGAATGTATACTTCCTTTACCTGATACGACCTTGAGCTATGAACCCTTTCCTCCAATTCGTGTGGTTCTTGGCCAACTATTTACTCATCCACTTTTGATAAATCTCTTGCTCAAGCTAGTTGCTTGCCTAATGCGTCTATGGCACTATGGCACTCTACCTTCTTAAATGCCTCTGATGCTATAATGGCTTCGTAGCTCATATTGTTCTCACTATTTGTCTTGGGTCTTTACTCCGGATTTCTTAAGAACCATTAAGGAAATAAATTCTTAGACAACCCTATTTAGGATATGACCCGTCGTAACTTCATTTCATAAGGTGCTCAGACCTTGAACTACTATGCTTTCCATATATTGACTGTTGACATCTCCACTTGAATTCCCTAACATCGATGTCTGTAGCGAATGCGTGACTTGGTTAATGGCTTACTCATAGGTCGCTCTCTCGGTATTGCTTTTCCCCCCTATGTAGACCTCCTTATTACCTTGCTGGGTAGCTCCACTTGATGCACAACTTGATGCCTGATTCACCATATATGGTTCCTTTATCATGGTTCAATCCCTACACACCCTTATTGATGTTCTTAATACTCCTCTTTAATCCTAAAGTTACTGGTGACAGCTTAACCTCCTTTTGGTTAGATCACAAAACTCTTATAACGTAACCTCAACTGTGGTTGATCACGTAGGTCACCTAGGTCCTTGTACCTTCTAACTCTAAATCTCTTACTTTCTTCCAAGATGCTTCGCCTCTCCCTTTATCCATCCTTTGAATGGTCATATCCTCGTTACTTCTTGCTCCACCCTGAAACCTCACACTACTGCTTTTGCTTCCTGTATGCATTAAAGACATCCTTTGCATTTCTCTCTAGCTTGCGACCAACTTTATGACTTCTTTCCAGAATCACGACCTTCCATTTTGCGTACTTGCTCACTCCTGGAACCTAACTTAACACTTCCTTATCTTCGTTTGACTTGGGAGTTCTCGTACTATCTCTTCTATTGTTCTTTGACCTTGCCTGAAATTCCTCGTACAGTTTCCCCGTCCAAGAAATTTTCACCCCAGAGGTCGCCACATTTCACCCTCATAGGTGGTATTGCTTCCACTTTAGGGTATTCTAGTAGGTTCACTAAGCTTATATCCATCTTAATTCTTTACTCGTGACTCCTCTTACCGATGTTTCTTGCCAGTTCTATATGTCCCTCGCCCTTGATGTAGTCATCTTGGTGCCCATATTCTCTTCTCACCTATGTACCTTGACCGATAAGGTTCTCCCTTCGACCGTTCTGGACCACCACATTTCTACTTTAAAGTTGACCATTGAGCTTCTCAGTTCTTGATGGGCTTCCTATGGTCCAACTTATTCTCCACTGGCAATCACCTTAACACCTCCTCGTTGACCTTCGTATTCTTTCGCCGGCTCTTCCTAACTATCTTTCTCCCTGAATTTGTTGTTTTATCAACTACCACCCTTTTCACCATAACTTTCATTATAGCCTTGTGGTTTCCTCCTTACTTCCCCAACTCCTTCATCGGTGCTTGGTACTAGCCTTGATCTACTCAACTTAGTAGCTCCTCGCCATACCTCAGAGCCAACATTTCCACTAGAAACTTTCTCTAGGTAGACTTGACAGATGACTCCCACGAGTTCTACTCACGATGGTGCTTGAACACGTTCCAACTTTCTTCTTTCACGCATTCCTTGTGCGGTGCGGTCGACATCCACCTATTTTTATTTTATTTTATTTCCTATAGCGTCATATGGTGTTCTCCTTGCTTCTTTGCTTTTACTACCCTTCCGTTGATACTTTGTACTATTATCGGTCACCAAACTCGTTGTTGTTTTGGGTCAACGCTTCCAATAGTGGCTTGCCCTTGATAGGCTTGAACATACCTCATTCACGTCTTTTGTCTCGACCGATGCTTGTACATAGCCTTAATCTCTTAGTCATGACTCTTAGTGGCGTAACTAAATATCACTAAATTATCCTTAACTGGCCTTCTTTTATGGATGACATCCTACTATGTCGTACTCGCTCAGAGTGGGGCATCTTGGGTAAGGTAACTTCTCTTTCTCCTCCTTCTCGGTAATGCTTTCCCTCATCGTACCTCTTTGTGCAGCTTCTTGACCTCGAGTCACCTGAGACTTGACCCATTGACTTCTTGAAATCTCGTCAAACTTCTTTGTTCTTTTTGCTCTTCCTTGGTATTGTTTGCAAACGCTCTTCATTACGACCGTTTAGACTCTTCCTCGAATTCTCCAACTTTCATTAGAACTTCTAATGGACATTCTACTTGCTTGTTTGTACTCGGCTGGTTGAATGACTTACTCCTACAGCTGGTTTCGAGACTCCA